GGACAGATAGGGGGGGGTCAGAGAGGGAGGAAGGACAGATAGGGAGGGGACAGACAGGAAGGAAGGATAGAAATGGAGGGGGGACATACTGGGGGTGGGCACTCATTGCCGCTCGTCGGTGGCAGCCTCGTTTGCCGTTCGTCGGCAGTGCTGGGGGGGGTCGTGTCTGTCCGTGGGCGCTCGTTGTCCGCGGGCGCTCGTCGTTCGTGGGTGGGGGGTCGTCGGCGTCGTCCATGCGTGGGCATCGTCGTCGTGTGTGGGCATCGTCGTCCGTTCGTGGGCATCGTCGTCCGTGCATGGGGCGTCGTCGTGCATGGGGGGCCGTCGTGCATGGGGGGCTCGTTGTCGTCCGTGTGCGCTCGTGGGTGGTCGTTGTCTGTGGGCGTTTGTCATTCGTCCGTGGGTGGGGGGACCGTCGTTGTCCGTGGGCGCTCGTTGTCCGTGGGCGCTCGTCGTTCGTGGGTGGTGGCGGAAGGTGGTGGTGGTGTGGTTGTGGGGTTCCGTTCGTTGTCGAAAAAGTCGCCGTCGACGTGGCATACCCGGATGGGCATGCCACGTCAGCGATTTGGTGGTGGCGCCGTTTGTTGGGCGCCACCGCCGTTTCCTCGTCGGCGTCGGTGTGTGAGCTGTCGTGGTGGTGTGTGGTGGTGGTGGAACATGGTGGTGGGGTTGTCGTCCCTCGTCGCGGGGTCGTGGGCGTTCGTCGTCGATAAAATCGCCGTCGACGTGGCACACCCGGATGGGGTGTGCCACGTCAGCCGTTTGGTGGTGGCGCCGTTTGTTGGGCACCACCATCGTTGTCGTTGTCGTCGTCGTAGTCGTCGTTGTCGTCGTCCGTCGATGTCGTCGTCGTCGTCGTCGTCGTCGTTGTCTGTTGCGTGGTGGTCGTGGTGGTCGTGGTGGGCGAGGTTGTGGGTGGAGAGGAAAGAGAGAGGTGACGTGACGTGTCATATATGAGAACTATCATCAACAAATATGTGCACGTGATGCATCACATCACATGATGTATCCAAGCACATGCTCATGGGTCATGTGACTCATCAAATGCATCATTCCTGGGACTAGTCCTGTCCGAAAATCCTGAGGACTGTCTTCAGTCCTCAGGAATGGACCCCCACAGGACTCAAAAAATTGGCTGGCACATCAGCCAATATAGAGTCCTGGTAATCCTCAGGAATCCTCAGGAATCCTCAGGAATCCTGCAGGAATCAGTGGGGGACAATAAAGACCTCAAAGTCCTCCACAATTTATGTTTTTGGCCTGGTAACAGAATGTTTATATCCTCCTTGTGACCAATTATAGAATATTGGCAAGTCACGGTAGGAGGTCTGGAAAGCAGGTTGAAAATTATTTTCCTTTGTCATTGTCTGCCGGAATTTCAGCTGATAGCCTCTTTCTGTAACTAGGCTATCAGGATTGCGAGAATTTAGCAGACTAATGCAGAATTTTATCGATGGCTTATAATAGTTCATTCGTTGGGCCTACGACTGAAATTGTTGCACAATGCTTACCATATTCTGCCTACTTTACGCATCATCGTTGAACCTATATATAGCATTATCAAAGGTGCCAAGGCAGTGTCACGTTGTTTTGACATGACAAATACTAACTGGCAAAATCAAGTGCCCATGATTTTCCTGATGGAGGTTCACACTGCCATCGTCATTCCTTGCATCGTTCTAACGTGAGTGCTTACCTTTGGCCCTCCTCCTCCTCCCGCTAAATGTCTAATTTGTGCTAACTTAAGAAGCTCAATGGTCTGCAAGCAGATTTTGTGCTATGCAGCTTTGGCATTGCAGCACATTGCACGGGTGAGTCCATACACATTTACTTCCGTTCTGCCATGTTTTTTCAGATATATGGGTATGCTTGCCGTAGCACCACCAGCCATGCCAAAATCAAAAAGGCACCAAAAGGTATGCTTCTGTCCACTTACAGGGTTTGCCCAGCCATTAATAACTATCAATAGGAACCATCCGAGCATGACGCGTCAAGTACTCGATGGTGTCCAGAGTGAAATATCTCCGTAGGACTCAGCTTCGCCAGCGAGAAGAACTGGACCAAACACATCGATAGCGCCGCTCATAAGACGAACGTTCGCAAAGCTGCAGCCATTCCGACCACAAAAAGGTTCTGATGACAACGAAGATCCCATTGCTAGTGACTCTGAAGCGACGGCTGATCCGATAGCAATGTCTGACATCCAGCAAGTTGATGAGGCTGATTTGGAAGCAGCAGAAAATGCCGAAGAACTCAACCAATGATGGTATGTCTCAATTTTATTCTCGAACCAATCTAAACACTTTTTTTGAAAGAAACTTCACAAGAACCAGGAGCGCGACCTCGTCGCAAGCGTAATCTGACTACTGTTGTACAGGAAATCATGGCCAATCGGATTTGCGCAGATGAAGGATGCGAGACAGTAGTTGAGGAACAAGATTTGCTTCGCTGTGGTGCATGCAACCTTGTGATAACAGAATAAATACTAATATAATTGCAGTATCACCTAACTTTTCGTGGTCTCAGTGAGAGACCCGCTAGAGGGTGGTTTTACGATGACGACTGCAAGGCGAATGCTGGAGGTAGGGTCTCTACACGCAAGCGTTGGCGTAGGGTGTAGATGGTTGTTAAAGTTGTATTTGTTTTTTTAAACATGTGATTTATTTCCTTTTTAGGAAGGCTAGGGGAGGGGGGTGGTGTAGTGTTGCCGCAATGGATGCTTGATGGAATTTAAGGCCGGATTTTTCCGGCCTTAAAGTACCTTAATGGGACCCTAAAGCACCCTCCAAATTTGGAAATGTACAAGACCGTCACAAAACTAGTAAGAGGACTACGAACAATATACATAAACTACTTAGATAGAGGTTAATAGAAACTTGTGCAAGTGCAGCGTGCGACGCCGTTGGTCTTGTCCACGTGACGGAGGTTGCAATTGGAGTAGGAGTTGGTGCCATTTTTCGAGAAACCTCAGGCTGTTGATACTCCTCCAGCAGGCTGGCCTTACAATAAGTCTTGGGCACATCACAGTTGGAAACGGAGACTCATCAAGTGGGATGGATTCTTCGATTGAAATGAGCGCATGAAATACCAGATGACACTTGTGGCAAAAGCGGTAGATCTCTTGCGTGCCGCACGTCGCGTTATCAGTGATCCAAAGTTGTTTCGCTCAAGTCTGCAGGTCCAACGCCGTAAAGTGGCCCTGGCTCTGCTGCTGTCAAATTCTTTGCCGTCGCTTTACGTCCCTCAGGCTTTCTTGGAGGTTTTTGCATGTTGGGATCTGTGGCTGGCTTTTTGTGTTTGGGCGCGGCGATACTATATTGCACATATGTAGCCATCTCTCCTGTACAGGCTGTGCTAATTTATAAACGGCCTTAGAAAGAGTCCTGATGGTTTTTGACCTCAGCGCGACTGCTACTTCTCGACGCGTCGACTACTACTTAGAACGCACAACACTGAGGCCAGCGCGCCTATTCCAATGACGTCACTTCAAGCTTTTTTCAAGGCGCGACCACGGTGTCGGCAATTCCCCGCAATTCCCAGCCCTACACTGCCTCATCTTAAAGCCCCTTGAAGCCACCAAATATAGGCATAATGCGCCTTAAGGTTGACATTAAACTTAATGTACATTACATTGCGGCAACACTAGGGTGGTGTCTATGAGTCCTTATCGAAATAAAACAACCCCATGTACAGGGAATTTTTTCTGGGTACCCCTTGTCGGCGAGTAATTGTTGTGGTCGAGTTCAGCACGCATGCTTGTCTCTTGCCACCAACAATCACAACCACGGGTGTCTCATTCTTCGTCGTTGAACAAATCTCCAGCAATCTCCTGACAATGTTTGAAAGGCCCAGCTCTGGTTTGGCTCTGATTTCCGTGGAAAGAACTTTTTCCGTGTCCATGTATGTCATTTCCTATCAGCGTTCCTTCAGCTTTCATGTGAATCGTTTTTAGATTATATTTTACCCACAACCTCGAGGATGGACCACGAAAATTGATTAAAAACACTTAATGTTCCTCTCAGTCGTCTTCCTGCTCTCCTTGTCAAGTTATGAGGCAATTTAAATGTCGAAGGGCGAACTGTGTTCTCACTTGATCATTCGCGTTACGTGGCGGCCAAAAAATCAACTTTCATGAGCGGGGGAGAGCTGGGCCAGCTGGTTGGGAAGGCGAGGTACTTACTCAGTCGTCCTCGAACACTCGTTGCAAGGGGGAGCACAATTTTAATTTAATATATCATGTTAATTTTTTTCATAACGCCACTATGGCTGGACTAACCAACCAGGCGTGTGAATAACCTTCCATATATAGGTAGAATCTATAAATAGACCACATGTTTTGGGCATTTTTTGGGTGTCGTGTTAGCCACCATCTTATCTACACTGCACACCTTCATTTGCTGGCCCTTCCTCAAACCCAAGGTGCATGTTGTGGTTGATGCATGGAGTCTGATAGGGTTCACAAGGAGCTGGGCTGTAGATACTGATGGTGCAGGTGTATGTGCTTCCTGCAGTGAAGAACTTTTGCATTGTTGTTTGCCTTCCTTGCTTTTCTGCACTTTTCTCTCTCTCTTGCTCTCCTGCTTGTTCTCAGTGCATTGCTTACTTCCTTTGTGTCACTTGTAGTAGGTTTGAAGACCAATTGTGCATGAAGGGACTTTTGCCTCACAATGTTGCCAGATAATGATTTTGCTGTCTCAAATATTGTCAAATCATATATTGTATACCAGGTTTCTTAAAAATTCTAAGTGTAAATAGCACTTAATGCTTCTGAAAGGGTCATCCTAGGAAATATCCCACTTGGTAAGTGAGGACAGCATGCAAAACACCTCAGAAAGTGCACCAGTCCAATCTGAGCTCACCCAGCCTGTAAATTACCCAAAATTGGTACTTAAAATAGAAAATTTTTAACAGCCTGCCAGCCGGACTAACCAACCGACCCCATATGGCAGATTCAAATCCCGCTCCCCCCTTGACTCGTTGTGGACTTACCAGCACACTTCACTCAGCGCTCATGAGTGATGCCAACTACCAGCATGGCTTGATAATTCAGCTCTCATCGAAAGTCTTACGACTGCTATGTACGACGTTATCAAGCTAAAAGTCACCGATGATATCGCACAACTTGGACTTGCCGTTTGCCCTTCACAAGCCCCGGGCAACGTTAATTTGTTCAAGTAGGCAAGAGTAAGCTCGTAGCGGTCGGACTGGAGCCCCTTGAGAGTTAGCGCTCATCATCCAAGGTACTTCTTTGAGTTATCTCACACTATTTGGCAGTGACTAATTGTTAAGTCATGGTGGGCTTCATACTTATGCTCGAGTCATTTCGCACTGAAACCGCTGTATAGGAAATGGTCTAGCGGGGGAAGGCTTCAAGTACCGGGCCGCCACCATGGCACACAAATTTCAAAAGAAATATGTTTATCTGGGTGAACATACCCCATCGCTTGATGTACAACATCTGCAACGGGCTTTACGATCCTTCGTTTTGGCTGTGGTAACAAACAAAATGTGGACAAGTGGAAGTTTTTGCGGCTTTATCTCAACACAAAACCGTTTCAGTGTATGTGGTCGCTGTTATGAGGCAAAATGATGCGGGGGGGGGCTTTCGGAGCCCTGCTACACGACCATCACTTTGCAAGGTTTCTTTGGCCCACGAAAACCGACCGAACCCCCATCATGAAGAGAGCCACATTGATCTTGAATCAATGTGGCTCCTGTGACGTGTGACCTGCACAAGCTCATGTGACAGGCATGGTCTGCTCTACGTTTTCACCTACATAACTCGACGCTCGACGTGCAATTCTTGCATCCCCAAGCCAAATAAGGTAAGCTGTAAAAAAAAAGACGTTGAATCTCATGGAAGTGCTGTAATGATATCGTTTCTTTGGACAGCCGGAGGAGGGATCCTGTTTATGAACATCCCCGAAGTTACGACGAAAATTATATCATGGCTGCAAGAAAAGTCTGATTCGCAACGATGCTGGGTAATCTACTATCTGGTAGGCATACATAATACTATGATGATAAATTAACTGCCCAAAACCGTCTGTAGTACCTTACTTTGGTGTCCAAAAAGTCGGTTGCGAAGCCCTACCTCGTGCCTTTCTGCCTTGAGCATCTCCCCAGAAATCTTGCCTCGATGAGTCGAACCCGCCATCACCCAAGGCATCTTCATAGTCCGATGTTGGCTCCCCTGCACCCTTCATGTTCTTCAAGACGCATTGAAAGAAGTGATTCTTGCATACATAGAAGATCAAGTGGTCGTATGTGCGGATTCGAGATATGATTGGGGCCTAGGAATAAACCGTGGATATCGCCCAAGCCATGGATGAATGCAGTGATTCGGTAGCCGCCTTAGCATTCCCAAGTTCCCTGTGAAGTGAAGACCTCGAGAAGACGTACATCGGGGTTGATGCCAAACTTGAAGTCGTCCCAGCTTTCATGGAGGTCTGCGCGGAGTAGGAAGACGTTTTGGATTGAGTCGATTTTTGATTTGTTGGTAGGTCTGCCGAGCTGATCAACTTGAGCTTGAAGGGAGGGTGTGCCGCCGGGGTCATTGATGTGCTCGTAGAACCTTTTATGAAGCCACTTTTGGGTTCAGAGCGGTTAAGTAGGGGTAAGATTAAGGTATTTCAAACTGCTTACTCCAGAAAGATGAGTGTTGTGGGCTGCGCGTGATTGGGTCCAGGTGTATGATTCGAGACCTGTTATTAAACATTTTCTGTCGCGGTCTCGCGTGCGTTCGCGGTATTCATTTGCGGGTCTCTATAAAGTCTTCGCTGAGTCCCATTGACGATGAATAGGATCGAGAACTCACCCCTTCCGGCGTGTTCGAAACCGTCAACGCCCGCCGTCGGTACGTTTCCTGTGTCAGGCCTACAGAACTGAACCTCCATCTCGAAGAAAAATTGAGTCCATGATCTGCAATAGCGCCAATAAGTAACAATAGCCACCTTCTTTCAAGATGATCTATCCGACCAGGCTTCACTAGTTCCAGTCTTTTTCGGTCCATGACGGCCGGGCATTATTTCGTCCAGTTTAAATATCGCCCACGAACCATCTGTTTGGGCGTAGCCATGGGTAGAAGGGAGTCCATGAGACCGTAGCATCTTCGTACTGCCAGAAGTCTGTAACCGGGTGAAGCTGCTTGGAAGCTGCAGGCTGTTGGCCACTGGAAGGTCTGATCTGATACTACATTCCCGTCGTAGTTTTCGAGGGTCACATACGCTGGGACGTCAGAGGAAATTTTGGTTGAGTGTTCAAGGGGTTTTGCAAGTGAAAGGCTTGAAGTTCGAGGTGCGGAAAGAAGTGTTTGGTGCTAGTGGATGGGACAAAGGATTTATCGTAGCTGATAGGACTCGGAGTTGGAAGAGAGGAAACTGAGTGAATTTGATCTGATATCTGGGTCCACGCCGATGCCTTTTACCAAACAACCAACTCAATGGCATTTTTTTCGAAGCCAGATCTCAGAGTCAACCTTTTCATTCAGTGCCACGACGACTCATGCACCATACATCATGGCGGAACTGGCATATTATGACTGCTCAGACTCACTGCTCCCCATCCACGACACAACAGAAACCATCCTCATCCTCCCTTTACGAGAGTTTATTCTATTCATCTTTTACAAAGACAGCGAAGAATCACCCCGGGATTCGAGTATCTCTAGGTAAGTATGTTTCTTCTAAAGTTTTATGTATACTCGAGCCGACCTAAAGTTTTCACAGAACAACCATACCATGCGTCTTAACACACTAACATCGAATTCGGTCGGAGAAAAAGTCCGAAACCACATCTTCAACACTGTAAACGACCACTGGGGAATCAGCCAATTCTCCAAAACCAACCTCCCCCTCCCCATCTTCCACATCCACTTCATCGCCCACCCAAACGAGGACAACTCTGGTAGCGACGGGCAACAACCCACCAACCACTGGACCATGTATGTACCTCGAAACATCACCAACTTCCTCGGTCCACGTTGACGTCGCTCCAGACGGTAACGATGTTGTGATGGTCATGCTTGACACAGAACAGGTCAATTATGACGCCTACAACATCTTTCACAAATCGCTTCCTGTGATTGGTGAGGGCTGTAGTGTGGCGACGGTTCTAGATGTCTTGATTACAAAGAAAAGGGACGTGTACAGGTTCGCTCCGGTGGGTGAAGGATGTCGATACTGGCTCTCCATCTTTGTACTGGATCTGGTGGATGCTGGATTGGTGAACAGGGGAGACGCTCAAGACGCCATTGATGGGCTTGGGATGTATTGGTCTTTTCCTCCTGGCACTGGCTCATTTGCAAGAGAGATTGCACAAGGTTCTTTCTAGTAGTTTTTTTCTGGTGATGGATGTACTTCAAAAGCTCGCAACGAGGAACCTAAATTTCGAACGTGTGCGCGTATGCATATGACAGAAATCAAAATAGACGCACCATCATATTATAGTTGAAGATACGTGATCCCAAACCTCTTCCGATTCAATGCCTGCAACCGAGCCCAATCATCCGTATGACATGCGTCAGCAAAGAGCCCAATGACCGCCATCTTCAATTGCTTAATGGGGCAATTCTCGGCCAATAACCACCTCGACTCAACCATATCCGCCACTCTCCCATCCTGGGCAGAAATGTATCCCCATAGCTTGATGGTGCTGAGATTCGGACTGAGCGTCTCAGTAATGGTCTCCTCCGCTGGCAGATCGTCCCAACTATGCAGAACCTTTTCTCCGAAGGTGATACACGTCAATCGCCTCAATGCCTCTTCCGTCACGCATAAATGCCTTTGATGTTCCTCCGTGATAGACAGCGAATCCAACCATGTTGATATTTGAGGATGTGCAAGGCACTCCAGCATCTCCTCCGCAGAGATATCGCACTCTTGTATAATGAGGTGTTTGACAGTGCACACAGAATGAAGGAGGAATACAAGGAACTGGGATTGTGGCCAGTGGCTGATGTGTGCGGGGGTAATGTTGGGAAAGGCACCGTGAACCTCAGAGAGTGAGAGGTCTTCCAGAGCTGGTAGTGTCAGCTTGTCAAAGAGAAATCCGAGGTCGCCCGCCGTGCTTAGATGGAGGCGTTGTAGATTGTTGTGAACAATTGGGCCAGAGCCGTTTGTGGTTGTAACTTGGACGGGAAGAATGAGTGTTAGCTCTAGAGATGTGAGCTGAGGGTAGAATGTGATGATGCGGAGACCCTCAGTCATCGAAATGATGTGGCTCAGCCAGAAGTGCGTGAGCTGTGCCCAGGGAAAGGTGAGCGTCGTGAACGGTTTCTGGCTCAGTCAACTGACGGAATGAAGTCGTGGTGCAGAGAGCATCGTGGATGTGATGCAATCCATGTCGTCTTGTTCCAGCCAGTAACTTTTCTCCAAGTATAGTTCGAGCAAGGGAAACAAGGTGTCCTTGGGCAGTGAAGTGAACCCAGTTTTCTCGGACCATGCGTCTTTGTATCGTATATGGACTTTCTGCCATCGGGAGTGATGGGGGATGAAGACCTCGAGCATGGACGAAACGACTGAATCGGTGGGATCCTCGGATTCTGGTTCAGCGGTAAGTATGGTGGGAAGAGTGTAGTCAATCCCAGTGCGACTGCTGCGGAGGAATGGATCTCGCTCTTCGATGGAGATGGTCCAACTAGCTGCCACCGGCCAATGGCTTGGAGGGAAAATCATTTAGTTCAATAACTTCCATGACAAGGACCTTCTAACCAATTGGTTGCCTGGGTATATCTGCCCTCCCTGATCTGTTAAATCAAGATTTCCATCAGCACTGTATCATTGTAGCGTTTGGAAGGTCATACAGATATTGACGACGAGTCCATTATGGTCTCCTGCAGCATTGTTGAACTTTCCCCCGGATATCGTTGTCGATTGAGACTGACGTAAAAGAGATGGGGAGCTGGCCGCTGATACGCGTTGCATGGGGATGACCGTGAAAGTGCGAAACACACGAACAAGGATCAAGCGCGTCGGGAAAACCCTAAACACCTAAACACTCACTCACACACACACACACACACTATCACAATCTCAGTGCATGAGTTCGAGGGCCTTTGGTATTAAGAAATACCACTTTTGTCTTCTTAGGTTCAAGTCTCAAGAGATTTCGTCTCAAAACGGGTTTTTATTATAAGGTGTGGTTTAGAATAGTTCAATAGAACAAAGTATGTCTTTCTGCGAACTTGGTCTCTTAAATGCAAAGTTCTTTGATCACAGTTTCTTTTATCACTAGTGGCTACCACTAGTTATCATATAAAACAGGTAACTGCCTATAGGTCCCTGTGTATCCATCCACACTCTTTATGATAGGAAATCATTACTGTTACCATGTTTTTTCATTATCATAAAGGCTGCGCTTTTTCATTAAGTGTAGGCAAGGTTTTGGGCCTCCCTCATAAGGTAGCCTGTGGTTATCATTACCAATTTCATATCTTTTCAAAGCCATATCATTGTGATTTTCATTAGTTGTCTGGCGAGTATCATTGGATGTTTCATTAGCTACATGGGTGATATCATTTTGCGATTTTCAATGGTTACTTTGGCAATATCATTGGAAATTTCATATGCTACTTGGGCAATATCATTGCGATTTTCATAAATTATGTGGCCAGTATCATTGGAAATTTCATTAGCTGGTTGTGCAATATCATTGGCAATTTCATTAGCTACTTGGGTGACATCATTGCGATTTTCATTAGCTACTTGGGCAATATCATTGTGATTTTCATTAGCTCCTTTGGCAATATCATTGGAAATTTTATTAGTTACTTGGGCAATATCATTGTGATTTTCATTAGCTACTTGGGCAATATCATTGCGATTTTCATTAGCTCCTTTGGCAATATCATTGGAAATGTTATTAGTTACTTGGGCAATATCATTGGCAATTTCATTAGCTACTTGGGCGACATCATTGTGATTTTCATTAGCTACTTGGGCAATATCTATTGGCAATTTTTAGTAATCAGGAGAGTGGTCACATGACCAAACTCCAAAAGGGGTCAAAAAACCAAAGTTGTAGCCCTGCACTGTAGCTTCCCAAATCTGTTTGAATTATGTTCTGAAGTGCTCCTGTTGTGGAGATATGAGGTAAATGAATGTCAAAAGTGTCGCGTTTTTTTTTGTTTTTTGTGTTTTTCTCCATGAAAACAAAACCAAATAACATAATTTCAGTATATTCAGAAAGCTAAAAGAAAGGGCTACAATTATTGTATCGTGGGAAAAATGACCAAAAAAGGAAGGTGCATGCTCTACTATAAGAGTCAGATATAGATTTACTGATAGACTACAAAAAAGTCGGACTTAGACTACACAGTTTACTGATACCCTATAAAAGACTACAAAAGTCAGACTTAGACTATAAAGTTTGCTGATAGACTACAAAAGACTACAAAGTTTACTAATACACTACAAAAGACTACCAAATTTACTGATAGACTACAAAAAAGTCAGACTTAGACTACAAAGTTTACTGATAGACTATAAAAGACTACAAAAGTCGGACTTAGACTACAAAAGCTTAGATTTACACTACAAAGTTAGAGTTAAGGTCAAAAGGTTATCTTGACTACAAAGTTTGTAGTGTCTGCTTTTTGTCATTAGAAAGGTTTGTAGTGTCCGCTTTTTTTGTCATTACAAAGGTTTGTAGTGTGCGCTTTTTCATTAGAAAAGTTTGTAGTGACCGCTTTTTGAGACTACAAAAGTTTGTAGTGTGCGCTTTTTCATTAGAAAAGTTTGTAGTGTCTGCTTTGTTTATCATTACAATGGTTTGTAGTATGTGCTTATTCATTAGAAAAGTTGGCAGTGTCTGTTTTTTGGGACTACAAAATCTTGTAGTGTGTGCCTTTTTATTAGAAGAGTTTGTAGTGTCTACTTTTTCATTTAAAAAAGTTTGTAGTTGACATGTAGATTATGGTGTCTCCATCTATGTTATGGGGATGAGGTTGAAGGATTGCCATCATATGCCAGTGCTGCAGCATTAGTTTTTGGCATCATCCACAAGTTGTCTTTCACCTTAGGACTCAGCCTTTCATATTGATACCTCATGTGAGGATATGGCTGAATGATTGACATGACTTTACATATTGCTATTGCAACATCATCAGTCTCTCACATCATTCCCAAGTTGGCTATCAAGCTAGAGGAGGCTATTCATGTTGATACCTACTCAATACATGCTCAACTTACAACATGACCTGACTCAAAGACACCTCCAAGGATGAATCAACTCATCATCCTATAGCCCTCAAAGAGCTGTATCAAAGTTGACTATGCTTGGGACAGTGTGAGAGCCAACTTGGTCATGATGTCAAAAACTGGTGATGTCATGTCAATCCTTCAGCCATATCCCCACATGAACTTACAATTATGTTTTAAGATATGACAGTAGGTAGTAATATGAAAGGCTGAGTCCCAAGGTGAAAGACAACTTGTGGATGATGCCAAAAACTAATGCTGCAGCACTGGCATATGATGGCAATCCTCCAACCTCATCCCCATAACATAGATGGAGACACCATAATCTACATGTCAACTACAAACTTTTTTAAATGAAAAAGTAGACACTACAAACTCTTCTAATAAAAAAGCACACACTACAAGATTTTGTAGTCCCAAAAAACAGACACTGCCAACGTTTCTAATGAATAAGCACACACTACAAACCATTGTAATGATAAACAAAGCAGACACTACAAACTTTTCTAATGAAAAAGCGCACACTACAAACTTTTGTAGTCTCAAAAAGCGGTCACTACAAACTTTTCTAATGAAAAAGCGCACACTACAAACCTTTGTAATGACAAAAAAAGCGGACACTACAAACCTTTCTAATGAAAAAGCGCACACTACAAACTTTTGTAGTCTCAAAAAGCGGTCACTACAAACTTTTCTAATGACAAAAAGCAGACACTACAAACTTTGTAGTCAAGATAACCTTTTGACCTTAACTCTAACTTTGTAGTGTAAATCTAAGCTTTTGTGCCAATAATATTGCCCAAGTAGCTAATGAAAATCGCAATGATGTTGCCCAAGTAGCCAATGAAATTTCCCATGATATTGCCAAAGGAGCCAATGAAAATCACAATGATATTGCCCAAGTAGCTAATGAAAATCGCAATGATGTCGCCCAAGTAGCTAATGAAATTGCCAATGATATTGCACAACCAGCTAATGAAATTTCCAATGATATTGGCCACATAATTTATGAAAATCGCAATGATATTGCCCAAGTAGCTAATGAAAATCACAATGATGTCGCCCAAGTAGCTAATGAAATTGCCAATGATATTGCACAACCAGCTAATGAAATTTCCAATGATACTGGCCACATAATTTATGAAAATCGCAATGATATTGCCCAAGTAGCATATGAAATTTCCAATGATATTGCCAAAGTAACCATTGAAAATCGCAAAATGATATCACCCATGTAGCTAATGAAATATCCAATGATACTCGCCAGACAACTAATGAAAATCACAATGATATGGCTTTGAAAAGATATGAAATTGGTAATGATAACCACAGGCTACCTTATGAGGGAGGCCCAAAACCTTGCCTACACTTAATGAAAAAGCGCAGCCTTTATGATAATGAAAAAACATGGTAACAGTAATGATTCCCTATCATAAAGAGTGTGGATGGATACACAGGGACCTATAGGCAGTTACCTGTTTTATATGATAAAAGTGGTAGCCACCAGTCACCCAACCATTATTGCACCTCAGGCCTCAACGTCACAAACAACAACCTACCCCAATGACAACGACAACCACCTGGGACGTGCAGACGGTGACGATGCATGTCGTCATCACTGCACATGTTACTCAAGGTGGGCCATCTGAACTCCCTTTGCTTATCGTCTTTTACCACAACACACAGGGGGGCCACGTCGCTGTTGGTGACGTGGCAAACAACAACAGATGGAGAATGACAAACGATAGACAGCAAGGTGAGCCATCTGACTAGTCTCCTCTTTACTTTTTTAACAAGAGACGCAGGGGCCACGTCGCCAATGGCGACGTGACAAACAACAACCATCCTTCGACCGCCCCCAATTGCAATGACGATGTGGCAATTCCACATCACACCGCCCACAAGCACGAACAACAGCCAACGACAACGGAAACAAATCACAACGAGCTGAGGTGAGGCCCCACCACCCATCTTTCTAACACGGAATCTAGGTGCTACGTCTCCGTCCGCGATCTGGCAACGGCCAACGCCAATGCCAACCAAAACCGACCACAACCATTAATGCAAATGACAACGGAAACAGATCACAACGAGCTGAGGTGAGGCCCCACCACTTATCTTTCTAACACGGAATCTAGGTGCTACGTCTCCATCCGCGATCTGGCAACAGCCAACGACAATGCCAACCAAAACCGACCACGACCATTTATGCAAATGACAACGGAAACAGATCACAACGAGCCGAGGTGAGGCAAGCTCACCTCCCCACCACTTATCTTTCTAACACGGAATCTAGGTGCTACATCTCCGTCAGCGATCGGGCAATTCCACATCACACCGCCCACAAGCACGAACAACAGCCAACGACAACGCCAACCAAAACCGACCACGATTATTTATGCAAACGACAACGGAAACAAATCACAATGAGCTGAGGTGAGGCCCCACCACCTATCTTTCTAACACAGAATCTAGGTGCTACATCTCCGTCGGCGATCTGGCAGCCAAACGACAAGCTCATTTGTTGCCGTCATGTATTGTAGGACGCGAACGATGAGTACCCACCATCCCATGTTCGTCCTTTGGTGGTGCGCTTTCCCCATCTCACCATTACCTTATTCCTGACCTCTGTCACAAACAGGACCTCATTGATCTCACGGAGGAGGGCTGCATCAAGGATGATTGGGTGAGTTCCCCGAATCATTCTCATTCACTCTTCTGTTACAATATAGTATTTACGTGTTGTTTTGTACATAGTATACAAATAGTATAATACCAATAAATGTTTTTATTTTTCGCATTTGGGCAGTGTGGTGTAATTTAAAAGCTGGATTTGTGGCCCCATAATGAAAATTATGATGAGTTTGTGGTGCCATGAATGACTGTGGTGGGTGTGTTGCCACCCTTCGCCACCACAAGTATAATGTCCCCATCATGGTTTGTGGGAGTGTGGCTGACCGTGGTTTGGATGAGAAGCGTGGTGCCACACGTGCCACATGTGATGTGATTTTCCTGATGTGGGGAGCAAAAAGAGCTGATCATGAAGTTAGTTAAATACAGGCTGATGTTATTGAGCTCAAACACTGGTCTTATGTCCCCCTCTCTGCAGGCCCCCTATACAGGTGAGCAAGCGCGAGGGCGCCGCCCAATCAATGATCGTGAGCCACAGAAAATTGTTTGGGAAGAAGCCACGTGGATAAAACACATGGCCACGTCACGAGGTAAGGCAGCGAGCATGTCTTCAACCAAGCAAAGTGGAATATCATGGCCCAAAAATTGTTGATGGCACTCGACAAAGTCCGACACGCTGGAGAACGGTTGTGGGAGGCGCCCTCCAAAGTAGCCAGAACTCGTTGCGATACTAGTCACCGGCTATTGACCCGACGACGGTTGGCATAACCGCTATCTTGGCTTGAATAGATTGCAACTGGGAAGCAACAGTATAGATTTCCTCTGGAGTCATTCTATCAATGACTTTGTCCAGCGAAACGCCAAGAATCTTTGGTCGACATGTTTCTAACCCATACCCGGCGCAGACGTACAAAATGCATTGTGCGTTTTAACAGAGCAACATTGAACCATTCCTAGACATACCATAGGATCAGTAAGTAGCATCATATAAATCAATACACGCACTCTGTGTTGGCTACCTTGCCTGTTCCCGTCCAAGGCAGGATGAGGTCCTTCATCGGGATAAAGATGCCAAATCATCCCCTCCTCGTCTTGCTTCGCCAGAACCACGTACTCCAAATACGCTCTAACCTGAGAAATTGAGCAGTACTTTACAGTGCCCCACCCATTCCTGCAGGAATCCACAGGAATCCACAGGAATCCTCAGGAATCCTCAGGAATGGGACAGGATTCCTCAGGAGTCCTCAGGATTCCTCAGGATTCCTCAGGAATCCACAGGAATGGGACCAGAATACAACAGATACAACACCTTCTCTTTGTGCTAGATACATTTACACTAATATACACTTCTTCACACTGACTTAAAGGATATCAACACTTTCTTATAAAATTTATATATTAAAATTCAAATATACATCTAATTTACTATTTTCTAAGTTAAATGAAGGGGCAGGAAGAAAGGGGGGGAGGGGGAGAGGAAGGAAGGAAGGAAGGAAGGGAGGGACAGGGAGTGGTGTGGGGCTGTCATCAGGATAAGGAAGGGATGGAGGGAG